CTTGTTAAGGATTTAGGCGTAGACAGGGCCACTTTCTTAACATTTGTATGCCAAGAAAGTGTGATGACAAAGGAAGGTGAGGTGTTTTATTTATTATCGTCTAAGAGTAATAGATAGGGTAGCCAAGTGTAAAAAGAACTCTAAATCTAAGCAAGGAAAAGATTGTCTAGAACCATTTACTAGTAAATGCCTGTAAAATCCAATTGCTCCATTTGCCATCGGTCTAAGAAGTCAAATCCAATAAAATCCCCATACAAGAATGACTGATCATCCTGGGGTAAAGTCATATCCGCTTGAGCTGGTTGCAAGATATGCCCATCACTTAGAGTCTGGTCTTGGGAGATGGCCTGCATCGTGTTGATTTGCTCAGTATCGCTCGACGACATTGGATAGAGCTTGTTTTTGGACAGTACAATCTCAAATGCAGGCAAAGCTCTCTTGATGGCAGGGGTATCTCGTATCTGGTCAAGTGCAAGCATGGTGTGCTGAACCGATATCCGGGCCATTGAGCGAATGAGGCTTGACTCTGCGGCGTCAAGAGCAGACTCTATGTGAAGCGCCAAGAGGGCAGTAATGGTGGTGATGCTGAGAAAGGGAAAAGGTCAGAAAGCTCGAGGATTTATGCATCAGAGGGAGTGCTTACAAAGTAGTTGGCAACTTTTGAATCGTGTTGTTGATCATGACGCGTTTGACGATGGTATCAAGCTCAAAGATTGCCGATCTGAACCGTTGCTGTGCCCACTCGCGCAACCCGTCATCACTCATTTGCCATCTTCCACGACGCAGCAAACGACACATGATGCACTCAAAGCGATAGCTAGTGGTCAGAGCTTCGAGATGATAAATCTCACCATCTGCAAAAGAAGCCATGAGCTGCATCCTATCAGGAAGTGATGTTCGCCAGGCATCAAGCGGCAGTATTCTTTTGTGAATTTCCTCTGCTGATGGAGTTGAACTTGTGACAACAGACATGACATTCCCGACTGGGATGAATGTCAGATGATTCGTTGGTTCTCGAGAGGGCTGAGACTTACAGATCTGGGCTAACTCGCATTGAGCTATGAGGGACACCTTTTGGGCCTGGGAGATTGGCGATAAGATACCGGACCATTGCTCAATATCTTCAGTCTCCCAATCAGCTTCTGTGAGTGGCCTGATTGGAGGTGCATTTGCAAGCAGGCGCATGTTCTGCGTGTTGATGAAGAAATGGAAGATGTCCCTGTTCTGTAACGTGTCAGCCAGGCACCTAATCTATAGATATAGCCAAAAACTCACATGAAGAACCCACCAGATCCTTCGGTACAATTTTTGTGATCCATCATCACGAAGACAGCTGTAATTTGTGAGCGAGGTCTAGCCCTGGAGGCGCTGGACTTACGCATTTTGTACGCCCATCTTTGAAGCACGCCGAACTGAGTTGTGAAACCAATACTGAAAGTCCCTGTCAGATGGATGATCCAGGATGATGGCGCCAAGAATCATGGATCCTTGCAACATGGAAAGCGGATCGCCTTGGCAATGAAAGTCATGGAACAGCTTGGCCTTTGAGAAGAACGATGCCTGTGCGGTTGAACGATCTGGATAACCGCAGCCGAGCAGAACGTCATGAGTGACATAGAGACTTGCAGCAGCTGCTACAGCATGAAGCAAGAAAAGACAACAAGTCCCTGAACGATAACTCTGAATAAAGTCTGTTCTGTTGAGGATGGGTGCGAAAGGGTGCACATAGTCGAAGTATGCTTTGACTATGTCGTCCCTGTAATAACATTAGCTCGTCTCATTTGCAGTGGTGAGATGGGCTTACATAAATCGGGGAGGAGGAAGCTCGAATACTTTCTTCTTAGCAAGATACTCGTTGTCGACGTCGTCAAGCTGAGGCGGTGGGTTCCAGTGATGTATTTGACTGTTGAAGCTGTCATCTGGTTCATCATTTGACTGATGATCACTTGCATCTGTCTGGGCCGCTGAGGTGTCATTGACTGTATCTTGCAGAATATTAAGGTAAAGTAAATCAGCCTGGGCCTGACCCGGCGGACGACGATCCCTCGAGTGGGGAGTGTCATTCCGTAAAGAACTGCCAGTATGGCTTGCATGGATAGACTCTTCTACAGGGTCCGAATGAGAACTATCTGTTGCCTGTCTTGACACATTTGTTGGCAGCTGTTGTTGTCGAGGCTATGGATGTATACAACCATCAGCTTGGTACAGGCCACATGGCAGTGAACTACAGAGGGTGTATCACTGAAATGGTACGAGTGAGGCGATGAGACAGTGACTAACCGATAAAACGGAACCATTGGTGTCTGGTATATTTTTCCGCGACCGAGGAGGTTCGGCATTACGCACTTTTCTAAAATACGCATCAGTAACCAAACCTCAACACGAAACTTCACTCATCAATGTTTTAAAAACTCACACAGTCCGACGTTTCCGTGCCGACAAAACACACTCGTCCGGGCATTCTCTACTAACACAGCTGCCGCAGGGAAGCCCAACGACAGCAGCATTGCACTTGATCTTGCGCGTTCTACACGGCACGCAGGCCTTGCTAATCTTGGGCGTAGACGAGGCCCGAGACGGTAGAGGCATTGGGGAATCAGATAAACGAAAATAAATGCGGTGGATATTTTCTTGTCGTGTAAGACGCCGAGATGAATGGCGGTGCGGGGTTTGGCTGATGTTGAACAAGTGTGAAATGCCGCGGGGTTTTGGCGGTGATATAAAAGGACATGAATATATTGCCGTGATCCACTAATAATTACGACAGTGGCGCATGCAGTAATAACGTGCTGTTCCGGAGCACGCCGACTGGGCTGCGGAAAATAAACTGGTCCAGCTTCTGCTTTCTAAGCCATGATTATAATCCCGCCCCAAAACACCGCGGACAATTCGAATATTGCACGCCGGGCCTGTCGCCCCCCTAACCAACAATGGAAAAGGAAAAGTCAATAGTCGCTCCTTTAAGAGATGGGTGTCACGATACCATAATCGTACGTCTGTGAGATTGTGTCAGAAACATCACAAACGAATCCCATTCACAATGGCTATCGATCCTCAACCCAGTTCTCCCTCGCTGTCCTCCGAGACTATTGCCAACGACACTATCGGCAATGACAACAATGTGAACGAACCCAGCGTCGAGCCAAAGACACAGGAGAATCAGCATACAGTACCACCTCGACTTTCTCGAATCTACAGTCAAGCGCACCATATTAGCCAGTCCTTCATCGATCAGAATTACCCCGGAGAGGGTACAACACAGGCTCCGTATCGCATCAACTTCCTCCCCGATGATACCCAAAATGCTCAGCTACTTCCCCGATGGAAGAAGTGGGCGTTTGTGCTTCTCCAGTCTCTGGCATGTCTCGCAACTACATTTGCCAGTTCAGCGTATTCGGGCGGTATCAAGCAAGTCATTCGCGCGTTTGGCATCTCCCAAGAAGTCGCTACGCTTGGAATCTCCCTCTACGTCCTGGGTTTCACGTTCGGGCCTTTGATCTGGGCACCATTGTCGGAGCTTTACGGGCGGAAGAAGGTCTTTTTCTTCACATTCATGGTTGCAACAGCATTCAGCGCTGGGGCTGCCGGAGCAGGATCCATCGCTTCTTTGCTGGTTCTGCGTTTCTTGACTGGATCTATTGGCTCTGCGCCTCTTTCGAATGCGCCAGCGCTCATTGCGGACATGTTTGACAAGTCGGAGCGAGGCTTGGCTATGTGCATGTTCTCGGGAGCCCCTTTCCTGGGACCCGCCATCGGTACGTCCACATCTCTTGTCTTGAGCCGACAAACAACTAACAGAGCCTAGGTCCTATTGCAGGAGGCTTCCTTGGCGAGGCTGCAGGTTGGCGTTGGCTTCATGGGCTCATGGCTGCCTTCACTGGCGTCACCTGGATTGCCTGCACCGTCTTCATCCCAGAGACATACGCGCCGTACATTCTGCGCAAGCGCGCCCAGCACATGTCCAAGCTCACGGGCAAAGTGTACATCTCCACTCTAGATGCAGACAAGCCACCAAGCTCGGCTGCTCATCAGCTCAAGAACGCTCTCACTAGACCCTGGTTGCTGCTGTTCAAAGAGCCTATCGTCTTTATCACCTCCATCTATATCTCCATCATCTACGGCACCATGTACATGTGCTTCGCTGCGTTTCCCATCGTCTTCCAGAAAGGGCGAGGCTGGAGCCAAGGTATCGGTGGACTTGCCTTCACTGGTATTGTTATTGGTGTTGTTCTCTCCATTATTAGCTTTGCCTTTGAAGATAAGCGCTACGCTCGCGCTGCTCAGAGAAGAGGTGCCCCGATGGAGCCTGAAGACAGATTGCCACCAGCAATCATGGGTTCCCTTCTCATTCCCATCGGTCTCTTTTGGTTCGCCTGGACAACGTTTCCCAGTGTTCACTGGATCGTCCCTATTATCGGTACAGTGTTCTTTGCCTGGGGTCTCGTCCTTGTCTTCATGGCCCTCTTGAACTATCTCATTGACTCCTGTAAGTTCTTATCTACTCGCTATGTGAGCCTCGCTAACCAAGCTCAGACGTCATATTTGCTGCATCCATCATGGCTGCAAACTCTGCCCTTCGATCACTTTTTGGTGCCGCCTTTCCTCTGTTCACAAGACAAATGTACGATGGCCTCGGAGTTCAGTGGGCTAGTTCCATCCCAGCCTTCCTCGCCCTAGCCTGTGTCCCCTTTCCCTTCCTCTTCTACAAGTACGGACGCCAGATCCGGATGAAGTGCGAGTACGCCGCAGAGGCTGCCAACGTTCTCCAAAAGATGCGGTCTCTTCACGTCACTGTGACTGAAGATGACGCCATGAACGAGGCTGAGGAGATGTGGAGGGCCAGAACGCACAACAGCCACGCATCAGCCGCTCATAGCCACGGTCACCGTCGATCTCTGAGTTATACTCGCTCTGTTTGATAGATTAGGCTTTTGGTGTACGATGATGAGAGGAGTGAAAAGTAATCGAGTTGAGTAACTTGGGGGTTGCTACGGAGGTAATCCCAGTTTAGACATTTCAAGACACGTCGTTGCTGCCTGTTTTCTTGCTTCTTAGACCTGATAGAAATAAAGTTGATAGAGATCGTTATATTCGTAGTAATAATTATATTCATTTATCCTTTCCCATACACAATGAAGCCACACGTGTATTCATGACGCTTAGACGTGAAAAATATGTTCATCTACCAGTCCCCTCGCAGGCAATAGACGGATGTAACAACTTTACGCCTCTAGTCCGCTTTGCCAAGTTATGTTGAACATTTTACTCAACAACACTCGAACTTTGAATATCATCCTCCCGTGGCTCTTTTGCCCAAACCGTCAAAGAAATCTATTCATGGCTTCGTCGAGATAGATCATGGTAACTCCCTTTCCCGCGGCCTCCTTGATCAAAAGTGACGATGCAAGTTCAACCCGTTGAAGGGATCCCATGCTGTTAGTATCACTTCACTCGTTGTCCGACGAGTTACATGGACTCTTTGCTGATAACACAACTCGGAGATATAAAAGTGAAAGTGGATTTCATAAAGCCGAGATTAATGCAACTATTATCACCAGCATGTTCTTATGCCTAGTGCTTTCGAATTCGTTCTTGAGCCTATCGTGTGTCGTTGATTCATAATCGTTCTAGTTCTAGTCCTTATAGCTTTGGATCAGTTTTCATATTGAGATGTGACGATGCTCAGGTCTTCCGGAGACCAGGATCGTGCTTAACCCCGCCAAAGTAGAGCGCGAGGCCAAGCTTTCAGCTGGAAATAGTCATATCGCTGCCGTCTGAGCTCTCACATGATGAGTCCACACTGGCGGTTTAGTGGAGAGCTACCCCTTTCGTTAATCGATCAGATACACAGGAGAGTTATCGCGAGTCATGAGAAACAGCGGAAGAAGCTACGTGGTGTTTCCATGAGTAATTCGCCGGAGATGTCTAACATGTCCCGAAACTCTAAATCAGACAACAGGTGACCAAGCGTGCATGGTTAGCGCTGTTCTTTCGTGCTATTGATAGTATCACGACCTTCCAGTTCTGATTTTCCAGATGGGGGCTGATCTAGTCTCTATTCAGACCGCTTCGGTGTTCGCCGGCATAATAACAATGCTGGTTTAAGGAAATCTGGAGATATGTTTTCCCAGCTTTTTGAGACGAACCTCTGTGCGCAAAGGATCAATAAGCAACATCACTATGCGCTAAGACTATCCTAGCAACCGTCAAGTTGGTCTGTCCAAGCCTAGTTGGTTTTATATATGTCTAGGTGCAGCTTTCGTCTTTGATAGATCTTCATAGCGCTCAGCCAAGCCTTGCCCCTGAGCAGCCTAGGTCTGTGTAACTTGAGGAGCTGATTCTGTCACCTGCAGGTCGGTAGTCGAGGGTTCAGCAAAGAATCCTTAGCCGCGGCCTCGGTCTATTACAACTACCATTTAGGAAAGATCTCCGGACAAGACAGTCAACAGCGGATACTGAAGGTCTTTAGAATAACTGGGTCATGTGGATTGCTTCTGAAACATAACAAGCAAGTGCCGCTGAATTATCTGTTTGTTCAGTTCGCTTAACACAAGGTCCACATGTAGTCCCCGGAATTCTGTATGCCAAGAAAGCCTCGAACTTATATCATGTTGCGGTTTGCTTGATCATCAGATCTACTGGGTGTTCTGTCAATGGCTGAGTCGGGCCGACAGGGTTTAGGCATTCGGTAACTATGTAGCCCGAAGTAACAAGGGCTAGGTCAGTTGCATTCATCTGTCGATCCCGTGTCGTAATTATGGCACATCTCCAAGGACTGCCGAGGCTTGGAGATCTCGGTCGGATGATCTACTCCCCGGGAGTCACGACGACTGGGACAGGCATGCTAACTACAACCAATAAGGACTTCCCGCGGGAGCCCCTAGCGGTGAGTGTCAAGCCTCATCGGAGTAGAAGCCTCATTTCGAAGAGCTCTATGCCGGCATTTGCATCTGGATGCCGTCGTACCGTACCCATGAAGCCACGTACCAGTATCCCGCTAGCGCACAGACTCCCGTACAGATTGAGTTCTGATTGAGGCTGGGTTCACGGACCAACGGGTTTCCTCTTCTACAGAGAGAAGAGTCGCAATGTTAGAGTTTGAGCATGAGTCAAGCCCAATGCAAGTTGGGGTACACGACATATCTGAAATGCATAACTTTCGTGCATTAGTTTGACAGATACAGTCGATTGAAGGCCCCAATCACGTCTCACGAATTGAGCACACAACAACTTCACCTGACTTGGCGATAGAAACTATGGTAGTACTATGCTAGTTGAGAACTGTTATCTCAAATGCCCGTCTTCATATTCCCGTCGTCATGACTGCAAATCTGAGTACTGTGAATCGCTTGTCGTCGAGAAGCCAGCACGAGACGGCATCACGGCACGCCCGGTTGTGAATATGAGTCCTCCGGCTTTGCTCCCATGGAGTGCCCTTGCAACTCGAGTGTCCCGATGGAGAGATAGGTCGAGGTCGGGGTAAAGTTGAGCTAAATATTGAGGATAGAAGTGTTTCGCAGACTTGAACTTGGACCTTGACATTGACATAGACTAGGACAACAGTAGAGGCAGTTCAAACCTTAAGGAAGATATTCTTACTATAAAGCTATGTCTTAGTTATATTATAGGTATAATTAATTAAATAGAAATCATACCTTGTATTAAACTTCTTGCTTATATAAGTCGCTCCTATACTAAAATCAAATCAGGCCAGCAAAGACAACATGTGATAATATCAAGAGACTTCAGTGCCTGTTCTCAATCCTTATATTTTACGCTGTGTATAGTCTATAAACTCTTCAGACACTGACCGAGCTAGCCTTTCGAAGCCGTTGACTAAAGAATTATGAACAGCTAAAGCAGTTCTTCCTCCCATGGTATCAACAGGTGAGGTTAGTTAATTGCCTTGGCAAAGCAAGCTAAAATATAGAATGCTATATCAGATATCTCAGTTCTCTGTTTATCCCACTGACTCTGCACAGCATATGCACGTTAAAAGTTGTGATAAATAGATAGGTGGAAAAACAAATAACATGTAATAATTATTCAAAAGAAACTCAGTGTCGGTGTCTTTCCCCGTCATTAAGACAAAAGCATCTACCCTGTTTGTGTTCATCTGCAGTAGCGCATCGGACGACCCTTGGTGCAGGCACCTCAAAAGGTTAGGAATGCGACGCTCATAAGCAGCTTCAGGGGCTCCGGCTAGACCGGCAAGTGATTTGTGTGCCGTGGGCTACTGACTAGCGACTTACGGGCCGCAGCCGCCCGGTACAAGTCCCCCCCTGCATCCCAACAGGGTTACATAGCTTTTCTGATGTTATGATGGACAGGGATCTAGGCGAGTCGCGGGCTCGCGAGTCTAGTCTGTCTAGACTTTAGTGGGAGATGCACGTAACTTTGTTCAGTGAGGACATTTGCTGGTGATCCTTGCTGGCTGGAGATTAAGCCTCAGGTGCTGGAGACCAAGGGCGGTCGCGTTGTGAAGAACCTTTGAAGAACCTCAGCGGTTACGAGTGGATGCGACAGATCGCTGCGGACATCATCTGGGGAAATCCGACTCGTTTGCGAGGATCATTAACAGTCGTGGACTTAACGCAGTGGAGAGCGGAGTTTAGTTTCAGTGGCAGCCCGACCGAGGGGAGTTTCCACCATATGCCACTACCAGGTTTATCCTCATGATCCATTTGCTGCTTATAAGCGGCAACCACCAAAAACGGACTGCATACTATACGCTAGAGGCACGGTGCGCGGAATATTTGTTTCCTCCGCGAACGCGCAGGGTTTGCCCGCAGAATAAGCTTTCGTCTCAGCTGTGAACGGAGCAACACATTTAGCGAGCGAGCTCTATGGGGTTCTCTGTTGATGTTTTATTTCAGACAAGTGGGGGGCCTTTTGCAGTCAGCATGACAAATATGACTGTACTAAACTGTCAAAAAGGACTCAACAGGTGTCAAATATGCTGATGAGAAGTGAGCGGGTACAGCACCAAGACCTGCTGAAGCGAGAAAAAAAAAAAGTGCGGAAACCGAACCGTTTCTGATGAATCCACTTGAACTGCCAAAAGGGTTTGCATCGCAACGCGTTGGAATTCTCAGGCAGTTGAGAAGGATTTCGGTTACTTTTTTATAGTGGGTCAACAGCGTCGATTGACTACGGCGGCCGTATTTTCTCGCTTATAATCTCTCGCAGAGACTAGAGACAATGAGAGAGAGTGCGGCATCGGCGGAGGAAGCCCGGGTCTGAAACAAGCACGTCACTCGCATTCAAGCCCGTCTTTAGACTACAGTAGCTCATCTTGCTTACTCTTTTTAGTGTCAAAAAAAAAAAAGACTTAACTGTAAGGCTGAGGCGCCGTTTGATCTCTACAGTCACGCCCTGGAACCTTGATAACACGCCACATCTCACGCCCTCACCCTTGTCAAGGTTCAAAACGTTCGTTCTTGAGATTACGCATGCAGAGGGCACGTTGTTCAAAGCTAAACAGGTGCCGACTCTCTTTTTTTGCAACGCAACCCCGCGTGCTCGTTAAGGCTTCCAATGGGTGTGTGCCACTTGCGTGTACGTACCATGACAGCTGCAAGAACGCAACTCGTCAAAGCTTATGGCCCATCCTGGACCTAGTAATTGTGGCTGCATGTCCTGTCCGTTTAAAGGATTCTCTTCTCTCCGCTTTCACGGGACACGGGGATTGTTTGATTTGCTAGGATTTTTCGTCATCGTGGGAGATTTCGCCTGCAAGAAACGCGGGATGCCGCTGACTTGAGTGCATGGAGGTGACTGATATTCTATCAGATATAGAATAAAGCCGAAGCACCAGTTTTCTTTTCTTCTTCTCACTTCTTTGACATATTATACATACTCCATGCCCCATCTCTTTCCAGTCTTTTCCGGGATCATCAGGATAACGGTTTCCTTTCTTTTTACTGCTCCCACTTTGACATACACTGCTACCTGCTTACTCGGTCTAAAGATGGCTGGCGACTTTTCTAACAGAGCACCTTGGAAGCGCTCGGCATGTGATCGCTGCCGCGCACAGAAGCTGCGATGTCACCGAGATTCAGGTCACTCAACAGACGCATGTCTTAGATGCCTCAAATCTGGCATCGAATGTGTCACCAGCAAAGCACGTCCAACAGGTCGTCCCCCCTCAAGACAGGTGCAGCCAACCGTTTCAGTTGAGCAAGGTGATACCAGCTCGTCGTCACACACCACAGACTCTTCACCCTCAGCCGGTGGCACAGACATCAACAACATGATGAACTTTGAGTATGATTTGTCGCTGGACAACATCTTGGACAGCATTGGGATGCAACATTCCGATTTCATCGTCAATGATAATATCCTCGTCGACATCTCCCCCCTGTCGTCCCAATCGACGAGCCAACACAGCGTTGCACAGGCACAGACAGTGGACCCCAGCACCATCCAATCGACAGCGTCGTACCAGTTCAACAGCCTACCGAGTACCAGTTCCATGGACTCTGCCTTACCCATAAGAAGCGATCATGTTGAGCTGCTTCTGTCAAGGCTGCATTCGAAATTGTCTGCCCAGCTCTACTCCATCAGATCGTCGCCATGGGACGTAAAGGGTACCCTGAACCTTTCCTTGGCCCATCAGGGTATTGGTCAAGATTTTGAAAACTGCGAGTCCCATCCTCTAGTCCAGGTATCACAAGCTTGCACTGAGCTCGAGAGGCTCTTGTCTGGCCTTCGCGCCCCCGCATCTGCTGAGCATACGCCCTCATCATTTTCGTACACGCCAGCAGTGCCACCGCGATTACGCACAACACAGCTTCTCATTGCACTTTCGTGCTACATACAAATTGTTTCAATCTATGGTATCATATTCTCAAAAGTGTTCGACTACCTCCTTAGCACCTCCAAGACGTCAATTGGCTCGTATCAATCATCCCCACTGACTCTTTACATCGGAGGTCTTCCTATTCCTCCCAATGAAACATTATCTGGAAATCTGCTCGTTCACCTCATCGAGCACCAGCTACACCAAATTGAACAGCTCATGGGCCTGCCCGAGCATTATAGAGTATCTTCTAGAGCTAAAGACACTAAAGATGGAGAATTGGGGTTATTCGGGAGTCAGCACAGTCAGTCTCTGCTTAATGCGGCGATACAGCTGGGAGAAGATAGAGACGGAAACCATGACGACATAAGATGCGTCCGGGCATTAAAGGTAGTGATGCGCCAGATTAAAGATTTTTAGACACCTGTTTATAGAAGTTCTGGGGGTTTGTTCAAAAAGATTGCTATAGATTCCTAATAGAGTAAAACTTACAAGTCTAAAGATTCAGATGGCTCACGTGTTTGAACTGGCGATCGATCTAGCGAACTTTCTGGTTTGGCTGAATCGTCGTGGATGATAATTGTGCCGTGCCCTTTCATCCCGTGGGAGCGTAATCCTGGTTGCCCAGGACTTTTGTGGTGGTGGTGAGAGATGACTCGTGGTGTCAGCATTGTGTGGGATTCGTCCGTGATCTCGGAGGAGCTGTTTCAGATTATTGAAGAGCAAGGAGACGTTCTTGGGGAAACGAAGAGTAAATATTCTCATGAGAATGACAGAAATCGTGCTCGATAATTGCCATGGCATAATATATTTATACCATAGCCTCTTTTGTTGGACCTCAATCACGTTAACATCATCACTTCTCCATGTGATCTTCATCTCAGCCTCTAAATTCCGTCAACGGGGAGTTTGAGTTTACTCGATTTTCGCCGAAAATCCGCTCGGAAATTAAGCCAGATGGCTCCACTTGGCATTCAGGAACATGTGAGACGAACGGGATTAGCAGAGAGCAGCGGCAGTCGAGTCTGCTAAACCCGCGGGCATTAGAGGCATGCAGAGTAACCTCGACAGGGATATGAGCATGTTCCTGTGACAAATTCGATCTGTCATAATACGTCACAACACCCGTTGCCGTAAGCAAAACATGCCGAGCAAGGATGAAACAAAACCCTCATAGGACATTATCAGATTCACGTTACGAGTGCATCGAGAAGGAATCCTTCAACGGCAACAATCCGAGTTGGTGAAATCCTTTGCTGACTTTACCTGCCGTACTTCCATTAGTCTTGGATCTGACTACAGCATCTACTGGCCATTCGTGAGCTGCCGCTTATCACCACCCGTGGAGCTGCGACGTATGTCCAAGGCACAGCAGAGACTCAGCTTCCCAAAACGGCCATAAACTGACGCTCAGAGCAAGGCATGGTAACACCAGTTTAGGAACACGACTTGCCTGTTTTATCAGATCTCTCTTTTTGTCCGCTAGTCTTAGCGAGTCTTAGTGGGATAATTCCGCGCATGTAACGCAACCAACTCTACCGGTTCATACCGGTATGCGCACGCCCCCCACTCTACAGAGTTCGATTCTGGAAATTCGAATAATATCACCATTTCCCGTAGTCGCCAATGGCGCCATACGGACCGAGCCTTCCGATGACGCATTTCGGCCGAAAAGACCACAGGGTCGACACAACATCCCACGCTAAATATGTAAGTAAACCAGGTTTGAGCGGCATTGGGGGGCTCAGCACTAAAAGATGACGGCAGCGCCGTCCCCGAGTAAATGCCGGTACTGAAAAGGATCGCGATTTCGGAGGATTGGCACAAACCAACCTAACCAACGTGTTTGCCAAGGTGTCAGTAGCGGATGATCTGCCGTGCCAAGGTCCAGGTTTATATCGCGACTATCAAGGTGCTGACTTGGCAAGACGGTTCAGAACCGATATCGATAACGTCGGCGGCAGCTTAGAACACTGAACAATTTGAGGTCCCGGCCTTACGTCAAGGTGACTGACGTTATGCTAAGTAAATTGAGTAACAGCCTTTGGCGTGCCAACTGGCTTTTTAAGTTAAGCTTTAAGCTAAAATTAATCGAGATATGTGTAAAGTCATAATTGGCCAGAAGCGGAGGCTCTGCGGATTGACTTGAAGAAGTTACGATTCATAATTCCCGCGCCAACAAACGTTCAAGATTAATGCCGTCTGCTTTGCTTGAGTCGTGCCACTTGTGATCCTCATTCATGCTGCCACTTGCACGCCGACCGACAGTATTACTTTGACTTCTGTGCCACGTATTCATAGTCAAAATCTGTTTATCGAAGATGATACAAGTATGTTACCCTAAACTTATATCACAGATATGCTTCGCGGCGCTGCCCAGGTGATACGAGAGGTCCTGCTGTTCGCAATGTCTAAATAGGTTAAAACCCGACAGCAGTGGCCAATATGAGGCGACACTGTCCGTAGACCTACAGTCTTTGCATTAAGGAGGCGGAGAGGGAACAAGCAGGGCGTCATGGATCCTGAATTAAATGCAGCGAGTGGATCACCATTGTATTTTAAAGCTACCATCACCGTCGTGTTTGCTACAATCTTGCTTCTAATATACACTCTCCAAGACGCCTTTTGCGTTCAAGATGGACAGATGAGCCGGGGTAATATCGCTAATCTTGCTGCATCCAGCAAGTCCCATGCACAGCTTGAACTCGTTGATCAGCAAGTCAAGGGCCAAACCAACACCGTTGGAACCGTCATACTGCAGCATTCATTAGTTCTTGTATCAGAATTGGCAGTTGGAAAACTTACAGCTAGACCCCATATGGCGATTCTGCCGACAAAGACAAAGTCTGCACCGAGCGCAACAGCCTTGAAAATATCAGAGCCACGTCGGAAGCCACCATCGATGGCAATGCGCGTCTTGCCCTTGGCAATAGGTGCAATTTCGCGGAGGATATCGATTGTTGCTGGAGTAGTGTCCAGCTGTCGACCTCCATGGTTGGAGATGATGATTCCATCAACACCCCGCTCAATGGCAATCTGTGCATCTAGGGGAGAAGTAACTAGACGACGTTTTAGTTAGTATGGGTCTTGGCTATCAACATTCGCGCACTCACCTCCCTTGACCCAAATTTCAAGGTCAGTCTGGCTTTTCATCCATGCAATCTTCTCTTCCCAAGTAGCAGCGGTATCTTGAGGAAATTAGTGAGGGCAACCTCCGATGAAACATCAGTCACATACCAAAAGACAGGTCAGGGATACCGCCACCTAGTCCACCAGATCCTGACTGGGTCTGAGCGCTCAAGTTAGGAAAGCTAAATCCTGGAGGGACGCTGAAGCCATTTCGAAGATCATCCAATCTCCTGCCAAACATGGGAGCATCCACAGTCAACACGACAGCTTTGTACCCGGCAGCTGGAGAGAATTCATCAATAAGGTTGTTTAGCGAGATGCAAGTACAAAAACTGACCTTTGGCACGGCTTAGAAGATTGGTGGTGATCTGCCGATTCTTGAACGGGCTAACCTGAATGGCATAGGGCGTCGATCCATCAGAACTCTGTCCAGATACATCCTCAAGGGTATCGTTTGACAGAGCTGACAGAATCATGGGTACGTTTCGTGCAGCACAAGCCTTCGACGTTCCAACCTCTCCATCAGCATGCGCAAGACGATGCATCGCCGAGGGAGAGACACCGAGAGGCAAAGCTGCCTTGGTGCCCCAGAGGGTAGTAGTCATATCAATGTTTGAAACATTACGGAGAACGCGAGGACGAAGCAAGTATCGGTCAAACGCAGCCTCATTACTCGCGAGACTAAGACCGCGTAAGTGTTTCAGGAACCGAAAGCTTAAAAAGGTTTGAGTGTAACTTACGTGATGTTGTCCATGGCCCCGCCGTTGTAGTAGTCTGCAAGCATTAGCTGACGATGCCGAGATCGGAGGGCTATGTTTGTGCGCACCTCTGTACATCTGAGACATCTTGTCCGATGCGGCCTGCTTGAGGTCCTGGATAGAGAAGATTTGCGGCTTGGAGGATGTGGCGTCAGACATCTTGGCGGGTTGAATGGGCAAATTGGTACGAGACATGAATCACGGTGTTTTGTAAATGAATCCCTCAAGTAACATTCAAACTCGCTGTAATGGGTAGTATTCAGGTTTATATGACAAGTCTTACGAATGCAACACTGAACGCCAACTCAACAGATGATATTCAACGAAGACATCGTATGTTCTAATCGGTTGCATTACGGTAAATCTTCCGAAACTCAATCATGATATACAGAGTCTCTCCGACGGAAGCTGGCTCAACAGATTGACTTCCGGGACCGTGTTAGCCTCCGAAGACAACCTGCTCATGTGGGTCAGGTCATGCAATGTCGGATGTCCGATCTCACCCTGAGCCCGGATAAGTCGGGAGACTTCCGTAGGCTAATGCACAAGTCACGACACTAGTCGGAAAGTTCTTTTTATCTTTTACATCTAATCAATCATAACTGATCTTTGCCGCATAGAGAGACTTCCTTACGATGCTGACTCTCAATGCCATAACCCAATCAAGTTTGAAGGATCGCGGCGACGGGTCCCGAACGAAAATGGCCAAGTGCTGACATGTCGATCATGATGTTGTCGGACAGTGTTTTCGTATCTTTCTTTTGTAATAGTATTATGTCATTGTAGATGTCGTTGGTTCAAGATAGATAGATATTATTCACAAGTAGGCAGACACGTAATATTAATATTTCTCAACGTGCCATCAAAACATTTAATAAATGACATATTGAGAAGGAACAATTTATTCATCTAAATGACTGACATAAAGCTAAACTCAATATCCCCATTGTTTCGACCAAGTGTCAAACCAAGCTGATGATACAGGCTCCATGCAGGCCAAGATAGAACTCTGTGCCAACGTGTTTGCCTTGGCCCATTCAAGACCCCGAGATCCCTCTTTTCCAGAGGCCAGCATCTCAAAGAAGGCCAACAACTTGAGACCACTTTGAGCCCTCCTCGCAGTCTCGGATGATCCTTCACTGACCTCCTTCACGATGGTCTTCTCAGCACCTCGCAAACGGCTGATCCATTCTTGTAGCGGAATGATCTCAAACGTCTCTGAAAAATAATCCTCGAGACGAGCTTTGAGACCAGGCAAGCTGTCTATCCAGCTGGTTGTTCGGGGGTTAAGTAGATTGTAGTAATTCTCCTGTCCTACGACTGGGTTCACAGGGACGACGAGCTGTCCGATGACCTCCGTTAGGAGATCAATGGGGATCCAGTCCAAAATGCTTGCAGAGCCAAGATCTAATGGTAGAGCTCGAAGATGCGCTGAAGCGTCGATAATCTTGTAGACCGTGTTAGTTGGACAGGAAGCGGCGCACAACGGGTGAAAACTTACAGCTGGAACCCAATCACGTCGAGTCCATATGCTACCCTCGCCAAGCGTCTTGACGGGGCCAGCTACTTGGCCAACTCGTAGAATCGAGAGACTCAAGACACCAGATCGCGCAGCCTTGCTAAGCAAGTGCTCAGCAACAAGCTTAGATGACCCATACCCATTGATCGGCGCATCAAATCGGGGAATGCTTGCTTCTGGTACAGGGCCTAAGAGCTCAGACGGCCAGTTCATGGCAGCACTGATAGACGATACGAAGAAGAAGCGGATCTTGTGGCGAGACTCTCGGCAGACGTCGACAAGACTCTTAAGACCGATGAACTGGGGCTCGAAGGAGGAGAGAGGGAGATTAAAGTTGACCTCCCAAGCGTTATCTATAGCCAAGGTTAGCTTCTAGTAAATAGTTATATGAGGTAACGGACTTACGTATGATAGCAGTGGCTTTATTCTTGATCTCCTCAAGATCGTCCTGACTCAAGCCAAGGTTCTCTGAGGCGACATCGTAACGAACAAACTTGGCCTTGCTTTGCCAGCTCGATGAAAGGCCCTTAGACTTGGCCGAGTCTACCTGACGTTGGAAGGCGTCGGCGCTGCGGTTCAAGCACCAAACCTTGGCAACCTTGTCGTTGTTACAAAGAACATCAAGCAGATACGAACCAATCTCTCCAGTTGTACCGGTGAGAACAATATGCTCCTTCGCCTCGCGAGGTGGTTCGAAAGCCTGAGCGTACTTGGCAAGCATCTCCCGAGTAACTTCGCTGTGATGAACCTTGTCCTGAGGGCCATGTTCAAGATGAGACCAAACAGAATGGGCGAGCTGGTAGATGGTTGGGTTGGTATAGATAGTACCCGCTTCTACTTCAAGTGGCTGATCGAAGGCAGAACTGAGAAGTCCGGCTAGTCGGATGACATGAAGTGAGTCGAAGCCTCTGGTGAAGATGTTGTCATCGTCCTTGAGATCAACCAAACCGGACACGGTCTCAATTGCCTCTCGAATGCCAGAACGGACTACATCTTCCGTTGTTCCGTTGATGTGAACAGAAGGCTTACCATGAGTAGACCTGTCGTAGATAGCGTTGATGTCGGCAGTGAATGCTTTTTCTGTCTCATTGCGAGCGAGAGTCCCCTTTGGAGTACGCGGAAACGGAGTTCGAACGATCTTGACAAAATCACGGTGGATCTGAGCGAACGCTGGGAGAGACTTGTTAACTTCTTCAAATGTTGGCCAGGCGTTGTCGGTGATGATGTCGTCTGGCTTGTCGAGGCTGTTCTGGTCAGGGTACAGGAGGGCAGCTGTTTGGAAACGGCCACGACCAGTGAGGTAAGCGGCAGCAATCCATGGATGGCTGATAAGCTTTCCTTCAGCAGCAAGAGGGTTGAACTTCTCCCCGTTGGATAGGATGATCAAATCATCACGCCGCATCTCGTACTTCCAGAGATCGGGGTGTTTCGGGTGTCGTGAGTACAAGTCCTTCGTCTCCCAGATATCAAGCTCAGGGAACGTCTTGAAGACAGGTTGAGTTGCAGAAAGCTTGGGGTTCTGAACAAACACCAGCTCAGACAGGTCTTCGGAGTAAGGGCGCATCTCGACACCTGTTCTTGGATGGAAGTAGTAGTAAGCCCACTCATCAGGATGCGTGACGACAGACGCAAGCCACTGGCCCTCTGTCATTCCCATGGTTTGCATGATGGGTACACGCGAGTGGATCAAGTCGCCGACAGACTGAGGAATAGGTCCTCCAGCTGACGTGATGAATTTGAGTTTCGAGAGCTTCTCGAGTACGCGGGGTGACTTGGAGATATCCTGTAGGACACTAGGCGAGATAAAGGCTGAGTCGAGTGAGATGTGGTCAAGCGCGTCTTCTATAACGTGCTGCATGATCGGTCCTACAGACGGGAGAACAACGGTCCAGTTGAAGAAGACGGCTGAGTACAGACCAAGGCAGATTCCAGCAACCTAAGATATACACATCAGAGCCTGGCTTCAGATACAAGAAAACGAAACTTACGTGGAAGAGGGGCATAGCGCACAACTGTCTCGTGCCAGTCCATTCAACACCAGTCGGCCTCTTCCCATTCGTAGGCTCCATCAAGTGGAAGCCATCAACAGTAGCAGCAGTCTCGAGATACACTGGCACCAGTTTAGGCAGGCCAGTAGAGCCGGAGGTGTGAAGCAGTGCCAGCATGTCCGACTTTCCTTCATTCCAGGATTTCTGGTAGACATAGGGCTTGACAGGTGTTGGATCTAGGAGCTGGGGTAATTCGGGGGCTTCAACACTTGGAATCTGGAGGTCTTGGAGGAATTCATGGTGATCCAAGCCAGATGAGGCGATCCAGAACTCACAGCCAGACTGTTTGATAAGTGATACGTGTCCTTCAACACTGTTGCGTGGTGACGAGAGTAACAGCTAATCAGTTAGACACTACCTAACAGATGAGATATTCATGGGATCTTACTCTATGTCCCAGCTTTGTGGAAGCAATCATCATGATAAAGTATCTCAGGTCATCTAATGCCCATCAGCAGCTGCCTGCAGTAGAATAGCAAAGTCAACTTACTTTGACCAATGTACGCAATTGTCCTGGGCCCCGCTGGCGATCCAAGTTGGGAGTCGAGCCACCCGCAAAGCCGGTTGATGGAGTTGGCAAAGATCTTGGTGTTGACTTCATCATATCCTTGCGAAGGTTGACCGTTGCGGGGAGTGTAGAAAAGCACGCGATCAGGCTCGTCCCGTGCTATCTCGTCGATCAAAACGGGAAGCAGCCTGTGGCCGTAGGCGGGCAAATGGGAGATTGAACCCATGGCGTTGGTAGGATACTTTGCAAGAGAGTAGAGAGAGAATAATGCTTGCTTTGCTTTCTTCTGCATAGAGAAATTGTGACTATGCAGGGTCTGGCTTCAACGCAATACTAATCGAGCTAGAAACGTGCCTTGGGCCTTATCTTACTTGTACAATCCCTTCTTACAATGCTACTGTATGCTACGTTTGAGCTAAACTCGGACCTCGTTAGTAAACCGAGGTTGTTGATATGCACGTTACTTAACAAGCAACCGAACGGAACCTTTTCTCGGCCACATTCCGCGATCTTCCAATAACTTCACTCCGTCGTATTCATGCTTCGAATCAGCATAAGTTGCATCATCACGAAGATGAATGCGATTGGTCATCGGAAGCTTTGCGGGGACCGGACCGGAGCTGACATGCATGCATGAGCTTCCATGGGGAAGTGTCCGATTGCTCCACTCGGCGGCGTTCGGGAACGGAGCCGGACTGTAAGATCGCGGCCGATCTGACAATACGAAATTTAGTTTGAGCCGAGTAAAGGCTTTTAAACTGATTCGAAAACGTGTATCATATTAAAGACCTGTCTCGAACGATATTCTCCTCTGACCTGGACAACACTAGCAGGCTTTCCCTTTCCCTTTCTTGTGCTTCACATCCTTGAATAAAAGTGATTCAAAATGGCAGAGCAAGTCTTTCAGAACTTTGAGACCCTTCAGCTCCATGCTGGGTATGACTCCCGTGGATATCGCCTCGTCAAAAGCTAACATTTTGCAGTTACACGCCGGATCCTCACACACGGTCCACTGCTGTTCCCATCTATGCGACATCTGTTAGTCTTGCCCGAACCCAAGATTCGGTAGACCCAGCATCTAACTCTTCCTCAGAGCTATACTTTCAATGACTCTGCTCATGGAGCGCGTCTCTTCGGTCTCAAGGAGCTCGGCAACATCTACAGTCGTCTCATGAACGTAAGCAACACCCAATAACCCTCAAGTTCATAAACTGACTTATCCCTTCAGCCTACTGTTGATGTATTCGAGAAGCGAATTGCTGCCCTAGAAGGCGGCATTGCCGCTGCTGCCACTTCCTCAGGTCAAGCCGCCCAGTTCCTCACAATCGCCACCCTCGCCAAGGCCGGTGATAACATTGTTGCCAGCTCGCATTTGTACGGTGGCACATACAACCAGCTTAACGTGCTACTTCCCCGATTTGGTATCAAGACCAAGTTCGTGCGAAGCGGCAAGCTTGAGGACTATGCCGCTGCTATTGATGATCAGACCCGTGCCATCTATGTCGAGAGCATGAGTAACCCTGATTACGTCGTACCTGACTTTGAAGGTATCGCCAAGATCGCCCATGAGCATGGTATTCCCCTCGTTGTAAGTTGGTCGTTCCTATTTCGTTGAACAGAGTTGACTGTAGTAAGGTCGACAACACTCTAGGCGCAGGTGGCTACTATGTTCGTCCCATTGAGCATGGCGCTGACATCGTTGTCCACTCTGCCACCAAGTGGATTGGCGGTCACGGCACTACTATAGGTGGAGTGATTGTCGACAGCGGCCGCTTCAACTGGAACAAGCACTCAGACCGTTTCCCCGAGATGGTTGAGCCATCACCTTCATATCACGGTCTCAAGTACTGGGAGGCTTTCGGCCCTGCCACATTCATCACTCGTATCCGCGTTGAGATGCTCCGCGACATCGGCGCTTGTCTCAGCCCCTTCTCCGCACAGCAACTCCTCCTCGGTATTGAGACTCTCGGTCTTCGAGCGGAGCGACATGCGCAAAACACAGAGAAGCTTGCCAAGTACTTTGAGTCGAGCCCCAATGTGAGCTGGGTTCTCTGGCCAGGCTCCGAGTCTCACCCAACATACGCACAAGCCAAGAAGTATCTCACACGAGGATTTGGCGCTATGCTAAGCATCGGAGTTAAGGGAGATGCTTCAGCTGGAAGCAAGGTCGTGGATGGTCTCAAGCTTGTGTCTAACCTTGCCAACGTGGGTGATGCCAAGAGTCTTGCTATTCACCCTTGGTCGACTACACATGAGCAGCTGTCTGAGGATGAGAGGCTGGCTTCTGGTGTGACGGAGGATATGATTCGTATCTCGGTTGGTATTGAGCATGTTGATGATATCATTGCCGATTTCGAGCAGTCTTTCCAGAAGGCATATGGATCCTGAGTGTCGATGTAGCTTGGTGGACTTGGTGGTCAGATTGATAGAAAGGTGGTGGGAAAAGCTGCTATATAAGTACATTCCAATGCGATTACGGATTTCTGAGATATATTTGCACATTAACTCAAACTGGGTTCGATCTCAATGATAACATGCCACGTCCTCTGGTTAGAGTCCGACTGTACGCGTTCAGTTGAGATGTGATTGGTGCTGTTATCTTCCAAATCAAGACCCGCAGCCGTTGGAGCTTTACCTCCCAACCTGACTATTGATGATCTGCCCAAGATTACCTGAAGGAACCGTCGCTTCGTCCAAGAGGATTTGTCCCCTCGAAAAGGTGCAAAGGGTAGGAAGAGCTGGGTTAGGTCGCATGTAACCTTCCGATAGGCCGCAAGCGCAAGGATGAGTCTAGCCTCTTCATTCTGTTGTGGTATCTCAGATGGCTTAGAGGTGATTGATAAGATAGAAAATAAGGTGTTTGAGGGAATTTTGTTTCTCTCGCTTATCGTGTACGTTCATCATTAATGGCTGCCTAGGTTAAGCTAACAAGCTTAGGGAGCCTGCTTTTGTGGCGACCCTGAACGTACATGCTGATATCGTCTTACTCTTACGTGGCATCGGTCGAGAAAAGATAAAGTTACTCCGATAAAGTCGATTGCAATGAGTTGTTGCTGTCCTAAGAACCAAGTTACATTCTGGCCACCTATCCATCGACAAAGTCCTTCAAGTACCATTTATCTCGTGAGCAGATCATTCTATCAATTACTAATTGTTAGAAACAACAAAAACCACATTGGCATGGTTGCCGCCTCCACCTCTCTTCTCAATCGTATAACTAGACGATTCCACCTCGTATCCGTACTCATTCGACCCTGCATATGGGACATCATATTCCAGCTTGACCTTTGGCCCACCACTGCCAATCCTCCAGTTCATCCAGCCCTCGCATCCAGTCAGGTATCCATGCGATTCCAACATCCAACGCCCTTTGGTACGAGGCGCAATGTCATCAGGTGCCGTCATCTTTCGTCTACCGTGCTCCAGTCCGGAGTCATCCCAGTATAGTGTTTGGTTGGTGTTATTGACGAGGGTGATCCCTACGCTGCGAGGCGCATCAGAACTGGCGTTGGCGAGATGAGTATCGATACCCCACATGGCAGTACCCCAGTCGTTCTTGTTGTAGGCAGTCATTATTGTATTAGTCTTTTGGTCCTATGGAAGAGATGAACAGAAAGCGGAGCCGCGAACTTCTGAGGTGGTATAATGGTAGGAAAAATGATAGGGAGACTGGGACACTCGGGAAACTTGGAAGGAAGAGCGATGCCCAGTCGCTTTAAATACCTGGTAATTACTTATCTATCAGCTTTACGTATGGGTTGTGAAAGGTTCAGACTGTCGTTTCAACTAACCACTTTAGTTAAAAACAAGCGAGGAGGCGCTGCTACGTTGCAGCAGAAGTACTTTCAGTACACTTTCAGCTGAGTACCGGGAAGCTATAGGTATGATATGTGGAAGCTATTCCCATTTTTGCCGCGCATGATCTGACAACACCGCGTGGCCCAGAACTATGTCGTTAAGGCGGGCGCTAACACATGACTATTAGCTTTCGACTGGTCTAGAGCTGACTATTGTCTTTGGGCTGATCTAACACTAGTAGCTAGCGCCATATTTCAGCTTGGCTTTTCCAAGCCAGATAGAAGAGTTGTAGGCTAAATGCGATTCTCTACTAAGTTCATGAGATACCGCGCTATTAGGAGGTTTGAGATATAAAAGCAGTAAACAAGTTAGATATTACTGCTGCTGGAATGCAGAGGTTGTTTTATACTTAAGTATTATTATTAGAAGCGCACTGAGTTTCCCGCTCTAAACTAATTATTATTTAAAATCTTTAACTTATATTTCTTTAGGATTATCGGCGATAAGCGTTGTAATTTATAAATTATGTTACAGGCTGTTGAAAGGTTTAATAAGTAATGCTTGCATCACATTCCATTCACCCTAGAGCTCGTGCTTTATCCCATTTTCTCTACTATAAAACAAGATCATAGGCACCGGAACTGTTAAAGTCCTGCCACCTTTTATTTACGAACTATTTCCAGATATATCAAGCCTCATTCAGGGGTATACTAATATTCTTGCTAGTCTTTCCATTGTCATAAAAAAGATCAATGACGAGGTGAGCTAAAACACGTTAGGCGTCGTAGACAACTCACAGAACAGCCTTGTATCCAATGGTAATCTTCATTAACCTAACCTCAGCGAAATTCCCTCGTTGCATCTAGGCAGTTCCTTCCAGGTTCAAAACTCTCAAGCATCGGCAGTTTGGCTGGACGGGTCCGAGGACCGAATGCAAAGAGAGACCGGAGCTCCACTGTAAACTTCGGCAGCCGAAGGCACAAAACAGAGCCCGATGATCCTTACATCAGTTAAGTCCTGGCCAATCGGAAGACGAGACGCGAGATTATCCACTACCAGCCGCACATCAACCCACTGAAGAGCAAGCTTCCGTCTTTCTGTGTATTCACAGAAGATATAACACTAGAACTTGACTTCACACGGCACTAAGTTCAATGCAAAAATTAAATCCTTCCGGCATGTCCTGCAGTAATATGTATGGGGTTTTCGGACGCTATGTCGGGTCATGGTTTCGGAGGGCCTAAAAGGCTCCGAGATGGCCGCTGTAGTGCATCCCCCACTGAGCCTCCACTGTCAGAGACAATGCACCCCAGATTTACAGGGTTGCGAGACAAATGAGCATTATAACAGAGGCACGATGAGAAGACCTATCGCAGCATGATGGAGTTAATGAACCTTTAACAACAATATTGTAGTTTTTCTCTTGTTATTTCTGTATTTTCACAAACACAATCATGGGCGGTGAAGTCTCAAACAAGACCTGGGTTTTCAAAAAGTCACCCTCAGGCCTACCAGAGCCCGGCGTCCATACCGCTTTCGAGGACCGACCCTTGAGCCTGGTCGCACCACCCGGCGGTCTGGTCATCAAGCTCCTCACGGCTGGTCTCGATCCCCATCAGAGAGACCGCATGCGAGGAGCTGGAAACGTTGACTACGTTCCTGGCTATGAGGTCAACGAGCCCATCACCAACTTCTCGATTGCGAAGGTCATCCGCTCAGAGAACGAGGCTTTTGAGCAAGGCAGCTTAATCGCTGGTAGTCTTCCTATCGCTGAGTACGGCATCATTCCTAAAGAGCTCATTGACGCGAGAGCTATGGCGTCGCCGCTTGTTTGGAAGGTCTCCAACGACTACAACCTTGATGTCAAGCACTACGTCGGTACCCTTGGTCTGGCGGGCATGACTGCTTGGAACTCCTTCTACGGTCTCGTCAAGCCTGTAAAGGGTGAAACCATCTGGGTCAACGCTGCATCAAGCTCTGTTGGTGAAGTTGTTGTCCAGCTGGCCAAGATCGAGGGCATGAAGGTGATTGTCAGTGTGAGCTCTGACGATAAGCTTGACTACGTGGTCAATGAGCTTGGTGCAGATGTCGGCTTCAACTACCGAAAAGAGCCCGTTGGCAAAGCCCTCAAGCGTCTTGCACCAGATGGACTAGACGTTGTCTTTGAGAATGTCGGCGGTGATCATTTCCAAGCTGCCATTGAGAACATGAAATGGTTCGGCCGCATCATCAGCTGCGGAACAGTAAGTCTCTCCCCCAGTCACCCCATTCAACTCGCTCACACTATCTAGGCATCTCAGTACAACAAACCAGTTGAGGAACAATACGGCGTCACCAACCTGTCGGAGATCTTCCGCCGACGCATCAAGATCCAGGGCTTCATCTTCTGGGATGACAATATCTACACTGACAACATTGAGAACTTCAAGGCTACTATGCCAAAGTGGGTTTCGGAGGGAAAGATCAAGTCGCGATATACTCAGTTTGAAGGCATCGAGCAGGCCGACAAGGCGTTTTTGTCGATGTTTACTGGTGGAAGCCATGGTAAGACGGTGCTCAAGATTAGCGACCCTTAGATGGGGTGTGAACAGTACTGGCACGAAGAAACGCAATGGCAGTAGTTATTATGAATCTCTATTTTTAAATGAAAAGTAATATGCCTTTGTACCCAAGTTCAAACTCCCTCTCGTAGGTGACTAATTGTGTCACGTTACTGATTGGCGCTCATTCCCAGGGGTGTATGTTGATCTTGACCCCGGCCCCATCTCGATATTTATCCAGTGCCTTGTTCACAGCATCTGCATCCAAACCTTTAATAACCTCAAAGCTACTGGGGCCAAGTTTCCCCTCCTTATACCAACGAGGAACCTCCTCCCAGAATTTCATAGTCAGCTCCGGGTGGATCGGGGATACACCAAACGCAAGGCGCCGCTCATATCCAGCAGCCTTGGACCCTATTCGAGCAGCGTCAAGGTCTCCGTCCGGTCGACGAAGAGTAATCAAGGTTCCCTTTTCCTTATTTGACAGCGCCGCGACGCCGAGCTCTTGGTCTAAGCCGGCATTGACCGTGTCAACAGCGTAGATCAGCTCATCTCCAGCAATCGCACGAACCTGCTCCAGCACATCAGGAGCTCTTCTATCGATAACGTGAGTGGCTCCGATAGCCTTGAGGTTTTCTTCATTCTGTTTCCCAGCGATCGCGATGATTTGGCCTATTCCTGCCAACTTTGCAAGCTGAACGACGGCTCGTCCCGTGTTGGAGCCACCTCCAATGACGAGAAGGCTGGCGCTAGAATAGTCAAACGACTTGGCCTCAGGTGAGAAAGGAGCGGGAATTCCATGACCGGAGGGGGCAAACAGGGCAATGAATCCAGCCAAAACGATGACTGGAATTGTAGAAGCCTCGTCGTCGGTCAACTCAGTGCCGGCTACTCTGCCCACGAACCTCGAATCAACAAGGGCATATTGCTGCGCAGCGTTGAAGTCATTGTTGAAGCCACCTTCGGCAAACGTGTGACCAAAAACATGCTCTCCAAGTGTGAACTTGGCAGAGTGCTCTCCGGGTCCGAGGGTTACTACTTCTCCGACGATGTCGCTAGCGATGACATATGGCATGCTAGTAACAAATAGGCCATCATCGCGGGTTCTCTGGTCGTGAGGGTTTACTGAAGATTATTCAGCTACAGTTCTCATCGATAGGTAAATGATTTCGGGAACTTACGGCCAGCGACAAGGACCTTGACCAGTAGCTGGTTCTCGCCCGGCTCTGGGATTGTCCGGTGCCCCAAGACCAACGGCTTGCCCACCTCCTCAAGTAAGAGAGCTTTTTGAGACATTGTTCTTTGCGTATTCAGATTCCTTAAATGAAGATGAAGATAGAAACAGAGGAAAAGGGTGAATTTATATAATAATAGCATTGTTCATAGTTCACTAATGGCTTGCTCTGTCACGCCATCGTAACCCGGGAAGTTTTATCAGATTTATCATCTTACCAATTCGCATGCCATCTAACAGCGTATAGATGTTCCAGAAAGTTTTTGATGCCCTGTTCCATTAAAGGCGTGGATGCTAGATCCGTATATCCAGGCCACGTTCACTTTCGGCCTTGATTGGTAAGCGTGCGATGGCATCAGAATAGACTCAACTGGCACTCATTTTAGTAAGCAGTCCCGAAAATCACGCTGCGAAATCCGTCGCATGGGATGTTCACTAATCATATACGCGCATATTATGAGTCCTACACCGGTCCCTCAGGTATTTCGACTTGTGACAAATATGATCCGAGGGCCAATTATACATAGTGAACCATATAATCAATCTGCTGCCCTCAGGACCAGCAGAGATCCATCCAGTGGCGTTGACTGTGCGAACGAACTTATAGTAACTAACTTCCATGTCTGAAAACTAAAAGTATGCTCTTCAATAATGACTTTTAGAGAATGCGTTCTGGTTTATGGCTGTCTTAAGCTTTAACAGCATGCTTGTGACGATGGCTTGGTAGCATATACAAGAACGTGGGAGAGCGGCTCCTTAAGTACTAAGGACTGGAGTTGAGACCTTCACTTGGGAGCACGATGTTTTATAGGATGCTTGACACCTCTGAGAACTCCTTCAACCGTTGGAATTATTAGCCCATTGATCTAAAATCGTCAGTTATCAAGACGGAGTAAATAATTTCCAGCTACCGCTTCAGTTCAAACTCTAAATCTTAAAGAGCCAATTGTCGTCGGATCTAAATCTCGTGGGGATAAGCTTGGTCTCACTTACCCCAGTTATTTAGGGGGAAATCACCTGTATTATACTATACACACGGCAATACCTGTCCAGCTGGGTTGATCTACCAAAGCGTCAACGCCACTCCGATCTAGCCCATCGATGAAAACCGCGCCCTGCCAAGACTCGAAGATCTTCAGTCACATGCTGGGAATTGGGATATCTCCACATCGTCGGTCCGACGGGTTGTAGATATCTGAAACGATATTCAGTCGCCCATCTCCGAAACGCGGCGCGCATTGACGGTGTCACCTGGTTTTGACAGGTTTCTGTTTCTGGTTGTCCTAAGTATCCACTGTACGATACTCGCCTGGTCGTGTTGCATAATGCCTTAGCCGGATTGGACTTGAATAGAAGATTTAACCTTTTATCGGGTAGTTCCGTGCCCGTTTTACTCGATTGGTTCGTACACTCCCGCCCCAGCATGCCAACGAAACGATGGCCTCCACGGCCAGATATCTCAACTTCAGCTAAAATGGGTTGCCACTAGCTTGATCAGTACACGGAACAGCAGTTTGGTTAACTGGTATATTAAACTATGAACCCTTGAGCTTTCTCCCTCTGCGTCATGTTTGTTGTAGAGTGAGCTCCTTAACACGTAAGCTTTTCCATGTGAAATAGATGCAAACATCTTATCTACTACGCGACTCAGACACGAGACCATGGCGCATTATGTGGAAATACCATTTACCCCAGTCTCGCTTTAGGGTGCGCCTCCTTGACCTTCTGCTGACAATGATCCTCACTAGAATACAACAGCTGACATATCGTGACGTAAGAGGCTTGGTGGCTTTAAGCTGAAAGACTTATCTTGGGCTACTGCGTGGGTAGTCGGTATGCTGCCTGAAGTGTTTTTTTGAGTTGATAGACTTGACAACCAATGCTGGCACCGCGCACCTTACCTCCTTGTAGCTTCGTCTCTAAAACGATGATCCAAGCTTGCAGATCACCGATGAACGGTGGCGGATATAATCATCTTATTTTAGTACTGATTCTAGAGTGTTTTTCTTTATCCCTGGTTGGTCTCTGAAGTTTTAGTCCGCTTGGCGGCTTCACTAACTCCAAGCCTGCATTTTCCCTGGCCAGTGGCTTGCACTAAGAACGTATCGATTTGGGCAGGTCGTATAATGGCTTAACTCTATTCTAGACAGACCTTTGCTTGGTAAACTCGTCAGGGGGTTAGCTGATGGTTACATATTTCTGCGGGACTACCAATGTTGTCGCTGGCAACCTTTCAGTCAACGGCAATCGCAACACTACCTGAATATCACTTACTCCTTGCTGGGGATTACCACACTTCTATGACATTTGATATACACTTAAGATGAAAGAGGGGGATACTCGGGCACCACTCATATTGGGTGTTGTCCTAACCTTACTGCTGCTGACGTTCAGTGTTGTACTTCTACGTTTGTACACTCGAGCTATACTGCTGAAGCAATTCGGTGCCGACGATATTTGGGCTGTATTGTCTATGGTGAGTCCCAACTTCAACACCATGGGCCGGGTCAGGCGCTAAGTATGAGAACAATAGGCTTCGATTGCTTCATGTGCATTTAGCATCCTGCTAGGTAGGAGTACATTCCGTCGCAATACGGGTGAGGAACTAAATTATCAAAAGGCATTAAATATGGGTTTGGTAGACATCAAGTGTTCTTAACAGAAGAGGAATCCAGAAATTATTTCAAGGTTTGTTTCTGGGACGTTTATCTGCTTGCTTGCTAATGATTGCGAAAGGTGTTTTACGTTAGCATCATTCTTTATCTCGTATCCCTGGGCGCGATTAAAACAACACTCCTCTGTCAATACTACCGCGCATTCGCCATAAACAAGATGAGAACGGTTCTCCTGGTTGCCATGGTCTTCGTTTCAGCCTGGAGCATTTCTCAGATTTTCCTCAATATCTTCATTTGCACCCCCATAGCTGCTTTCTGGGATAGAGCTATCCAGGGCAAATGCATTCCGAGAAACCCGACGTGGTACATCACTGCAGCTGGAAACATTGCGACCGACATCATGATTATAGTGATTCCCTTTCCCGTGGTGATAAAGCTGAACCTGGCTCGTCGGCAGCGCTTTGTCCTGCTTGGGGTTTTCTGCGTGGGCTTTCTGTAAGTTCTACCCACGCAGTCTCGTCTTGTGACACACTAGGTACTCATTTGCGTACATAGTACTTGTGCTATCTCGATGGTTAGAATAGGCTATCTGGATATCAAAGAAGACTTCACCTGGGTAAACGTCGAGCCGGCGTGTTGGTCATTCACCGAACTTTGCTGCGGACTGCTATGCGCCTGTGTCCCGACGCTTAGACCTTTCGTTTCACGGTACTTTCCTTCGATGTCCAGCTATAATCGCTCGAGAAAGGCATACGCTACCAACCAGCCACCCGAGCCACACACTTCCAATCGTTACCACGAGATCGAACTACAAAACAGACGTCATATACAGGACGATTTGCTTCAAGACGATAGCCGATCGACGAGAATACTGTGCGTGTCCGAATTCACAGTGACGGAGACAAGGGAATTGGAGAAGTCAAAAAATGGGGAGAGGGAGAGCGATGATGAGGTTTTATTGGTATCTCATGTGTTTACCGACCCTCGTCCGATTGAGAAAGCGAGAACAAGGCCAGGCAGATTGCCAGCTACAGATTAGGTATACGCAGCGTCATAACAGGCACTCTGACCTTCCCTCAGTACATGATGATAAAGATGTATAGTTATATACCTGCTCCTATATTAATTACAGAGCCGCTCGCTGCATAATATCCGGTAAACTCTCATGCAGAAACCCAATCAACAACCAGTTCAACTGACTCCACTCAATCAAGAACGCATCATGCCCATCATCACTTACGATCTCTCTCAACTTGGCATTCGGCACAGCTCGTGCAATCTGCTCCTGTTCAGCAAGCGTGTACAGCCCATCACTTCGTATTCCTAGCACAAGCGTAGGCTGCTCAATCATTGACAGTGCTTCAGTAATGGTCCGTGTTCGACCGCGTGCCAGGTCATGAGTGTCGAGCTTGTTGGTGAGGGCGATGTAGCAATTACTGTCGAAGCGGTCGGAGAACTTCTTGGCTTGGTAGCGGAGGTAGGATTGGGCGGCGAAGTTGGAGTCGGCACGGTCAAATGCGACGGGTGTTTCGTCTGCCCCGCCTTGGCTGTGGATAGGTGTCCCGTTGTTTGGTAATGCCTTGCTATCTTGCTGTACCTCGAGTTTGTTGTTAGCCCTGAGCTTATTACCTGTGTTTGGGTGCTCACCTTCTTCTTGTTTCCTGTATCACGCCCAAATCGCCTCTCGAGAGAATCTCGACTTCTATATGTCAACAGCGCCGTCATGCGAGCTGCTTCCAGACCAAGGATTGGGGGGTCATCGAACCCATAACGGCCATTCTTGTACTTGACATCGCTTCGGATGGCATGACGCTGTGCTTCGCCCCAACCAATTGCCCATGCACTTTGATGACTGGATGTTGCAGCTGGTACGATGCATCGAACGTAGTCTTTTCCAAAGAACGCCCATTCAAGAACATGCATACCACCCATAGAGCCGCCAATGACAGCTGCAACTTTACGGACTCCCAGCTTGTCCAGAACCAACTTATGAAGTCTGCGATACTTAGCTGGCGATCGTGGCTGTCTCAGCAAATATCACTTACCGAACATCATCTCGGATAGTTGTTGACGGAAAGTCAGCTCCATACCAACCCTGGGAGTAGTCCCCGTTCTTAGCAGTTACAGGACTGGCCGTTCCGTATGGACTTCCGAGGCTGTTCATACAGATCACAAAGAACTTTTCTGTGTCAAATGCCTTCCCGGGCCCAAGAAGCGGACCCCACCAGTCGCTGACATCTGAACTCCCGGATAATGCATGACATATAATCATGACATTATTAGCCTTTGGTGATAGCTTTCCCCAGCTCATGTATGCAACTGGAACATTCCGCATCTCAACACCGGATTCGAGTGTGAAGTTGGGGATCGTGATGATTTCTCGTCCGGGGACACGATTCGAGAACGGATTGACGGCTCTGGGAACACTCTTCTCTGTGTTGAGTTAGTACCACTCTATTGTGGCATACAATCTGATGTCTCACCATGTGGAATACTTTTACTAAGGCCATCGTGAATGGGCCTTGGTAACGCCGGTGCCGTCGTCGTTGTCGTCATTCTTCGTCTTGATACTATGGATAAATTGCCATAGATGCTAAGAGAAATGCTTTGGGAACGAGCAAGAATATGTTTGTGAAGCGCCCTCAGAGTCTGGCGCTGGTTCATCGGATACGATTGCTTAGTCAGAGGGTAACGAGTGATATCATCAGGTGCTAGGAGTGCATACCACAGCAACAGCATCGGGGCAGCCAACTTCAAGAATTTGTCAATTTTCATGTCAAAGACGCAATCTAATTTCATATTCGTAAGAGATAACCCGGTGTAAGTAACTACCCGTGTTATTCTCGAACCTCCGAACTGGCCAGCCCAACCTCCGATCCTTCGATCCACTTCTGCAAAGCTTCCGTACATCTTCCGATCGACGGAACAAGCTTCTGGAAGCCGCTGAGTGGCCCGATATAGATTCATCCCTGTATCTGTGGCTCCGGCAGTCCCGTTCGTATCAAGCTTATCAACGCGGTTGCCTTACAGATGTTGGCAAGGCGATCCGAGTGGTTCGGATGGTATGCATCACATACCGCTAGCTCGATCGTGAAACAGCGCAGAACAACCTTCACGGAGAACAAACCGAGTTCTGCCGTTATGCGTACAGTGTACCAAGTCTAGAGAAGACCGGACGAAAGGAAGAGAATCTCAATAAAAAGGTTGCCTTGGCGAAGGTCTAAAACATTCTCTATTACAGCAACTCACCAACATTCATCTCATTTCACAACTTCGACTCTAAGCATTCTTTAAATTTCAATCCAACTTCACCTTCAAAAAGCCATTTAGATTCGATCAAGATGAGGTTTCTTTGTCTCCACGGCTATGCTTTCAGCGTAGAGGTTCTCCAACAACAGATGGAGCCCATCACCGCTCATCTGCCAAGTGACTGGGAGTACGAATTCCTCGAGGCGGGCATGGAACCCACAGAACTGATGCTCCGTAAGTGCCACCACAGTCTTCTCCACTATCTGATGATCTAACAAGACCAGCAAACCTCAAGCAAGTCCCCAAGCCCAACTACAGCTGGTACAACTTCCCCTACCCCGAAGACGTCGAAGAGGCATATGAGCGTCTTGCCGCCTACGTTGAGTCTGAAGGTCCCTTCGATGGTGTCTGGGGCTTCTCGCAGGGTGGTTCCATGGCTGCCCTTCTTCTCCTCATGCACCAAGCCGAGCACCCCGATACGCCATACCCTTTCAAGATGGCCATCTTCACATCAGCCTTCCTTCCCCACTCCTTCGACAATGGTATTATCAGTTGGGATCTCACGGAGAAGAACACCCTTGAGCCGACGTACCTTCCCGGACGAATTGATGTTTCTCACGGCAAGAAGCTGGACTGGAAGAAGGACCTTCACACCTCGATTGAGTATGACATGATCAACGCTGTCAAAGATGAACTTGAATTTCCTGTTGATCTACTACTTCGATGGAGGCCTAGCGATATTCCCGAGAAGATCCCAGTACCTTCAGTTCATGTTCGTGGCTTGAAGGATCACTACTCATTTGTCGATGAATCGGTGTACGAGTTGTTTGATCCCGATATGGCGAGGAAGATGACACATCGGGGCGGACATAACTTTCCCAGGTATAATGAGGAGTTAGTGCACTTTGCAGAGTTGATTATTGAGACGGTTGTTTCTCTTCACTAGATACTCATTGTTGTTTTCTTATGTCAACGCTGCTGGATGGCTGATTGCAAACGAAAAGTTTCAGAATTTTTATGGGATATGATAGATTATTTCTTTACCTTAGACTTCAGACAATAGATTGAGATTGTGTCTTTACATCTTTCACCTACATATTGACATCATTTCAAGTCAACACTGCGATTACCTCCAAAGTGTAGCATAAGTTTAGTTTAGCCTCATATAAATTCCTTAAGATATCATCATATGTTTCATAAAATAATCTTATACAAGACAATACAGGAGCGCTATCCTTCCCTTGGAATTGGGGAGCATCCGGAAGATTGTCGTGCCAGACTATCTCAGTGTCGGCCAAAGCTACCGGTGAATCCTCTGGTTGCCGTGAGGCAAGATGAAGTTGCGAAGAGGTGACGATGCTCGCACCGCCCATGGACTAACTGGCCCGAAGCCGAAGTCGGCCATCAATACAACTCCAATTCTGACTCACGCGATCAGCACATCCGCAAAGAAGCTATACTGGAGACTCAAGTTGCTTGACGTGGATTTATGCTTCGCGATGACAATCTCGATCTAATAAGATAAAATTTTATTTACGCTCGGTGAACCTACTGATAGGTGCTTAATCCCTTACAGCTATATCTATATGGTGTTCTTCGTAAACAATTCGTCATGCAGCATATTCAGAGCCCTAGTAGCGTCCTTATCCGGAATCACACAGGAGATGTTAATCTCACTAGCGCCTGTCACCGAACCATATTAGCACATGACCTTCAACATTCTATTACAGTTTACATACCTTGCGAGATCATCTCAATGTTGACATGCTGCTCCCCCAGAATGGCAAACATTCTCCCCGCAATGCCAGTCATGTTCTTCAACTCAGCACCAACGAGACTCAGAATAGCCATGTCGGGCAACACATTCACCTCTCCTTCTTCGGCAAGTCTGCACTGAACATTCTTGATCTGTGAAGGATCCATGTTGGAACTGTTGATTGCCATAGAGACGTGGACTTCCGAGGTGGAGATTAGATCGACTGAAATATCGTGCTCGGCCAGGATGGTGAAGACCTTGACGAAGAAGCCGTGAGACATGGACTGTTTGTTGCTCAGAATGTTGAGGATGGTGATGTCTCGTTTGATAGTGACAGCTGTCGGCATTTTCGGCAGTGCTGTGGAGGAAGTACTGTCCGAGTCAGAAGGATCCAGGTAATCGATCGGCCACGAAGATGTGTCGTCACCATCACTGGGAACAACAACAGTTCCTTGACCCCACGGCTTCTGCACATTCTTGACAAAGATGCTAACTGGGGGCTTCGCTTGAATTGCCAGAGACAGTGCAAGATGATGAATGACCTCGGATCCATAGAACGTAAGTTCAGCTGCTTCTGACGGAGTAATTGAAGGCAAGCATCTAGCATCAGGGACTTCCCTGGGATCAGCTGTGAAGATGCCATCGACTTCTTTCCAAATCTGCACTCTTTCTGCATGTAGACCGATCGCCACCAAAACAGCGCACAAGTCAGAATATCCTCTTCCAATACCACTATCGATCAAACTCCCCGGAACAGCGCCAAAGAAACCAGTTATGACGGGAACTCTCCCATTACAAGCTTCGACTCGCTTTCCAAAGACTGCAGCAGCCTCGTGGAAGAATTCAGGCTTCAAGTGATCTAGGTTATTGCTGGGTACAATATCGGAGAGATCGACGTATTCCGCTGGGATATCTCTGTCTCGCAGCATGGCAACCATGAGTCGGCAGCTCAGCTTCTCGCCGAAGCTGACCATTTTGTCCTTTGCTTTGCCATTGATGTCGAGATTAAAGCGTTTAGCAGCGGATGTGTAGTCAAGTAGCTCTTGGCAATCCGCTGTGATCTGTCGAATTGTCTTATCACGGATATCCTGTCTCAAGATATATATCTGAACAGTGGCGACTTGGTCATCACGGATATCTCGAATGATGCTGCGAAGTCTGTCGAATAGCAACTCTTGCATGTCAGGGTCTTGAGTTATGGCTACAATGCCTCTCAATGTCCGATAGACTTGTAGCAGCCTTGATGATCGTGATTAGTAGTTTGAGCTGATGGGAGGTTATCTGGCTGTTTGGCTCACCTGCTCGTTGTTCCGAAGACTTTCTTTCCGGAACTTCGGGCAGAACATATCACTGCTGGTCTATCACCTCCAAGCCTCGCACTGCAACAATATTAGCCGGCTCCCTTGATACGCTAGTGGCCCAGCTGTACCTTTTCACAATCTCGGCAACCTACCATATTCATGTCAGCCATGGTCACTATGGCAAAACGGTTGAACAAAGAGCGTGCAACTAACCTTGTCTGGGAACTTACCAATGCTAGTTCCACCAAACTTTTGAACCACCCAGGAATTATCTCGACGATTGCGCATCCTGGCAAGTGTTGTTACGATTTCTCTCAAATTATTACGCTTTGCGGTCTCTTGAGTTTGTTTGCAATAAAATGTGTTTTAGGAGCAAATATAATTTAAACGATGGAAAACCCAGCTCATCACTCTGCACATTGAGTTCAGGTAGCACTCAGCGTGTTAGTCTACGACCTCAGCGACTTATCTTATCGCGAGAAGTCCCCGATGTCAGCGCCGAGGTACGGACAAATCTTTAATCAGAGCATCGAAGTTGGCGTGTCATTTTTGAACTGCATGTTTGCCACTCGATACCTAAGTTAATGTTACAACGCGCTCTAGCGCTCCCGGAAGGTTATCGCCATTCAACGAGGTGCTAACAAAAATCTCTTATCACCGGGATATAAGCCGGAGAGACTAATCGCCCAGCCGGCCGGGGTGGAGCTTCCGATTGCTTCGAACATGACGAGGCCGATCGGAACTTTTCATTCGGATCCGATCCGAGCGTTCAAGTTGCAATTAACTGCACGTAACCAGATCCGATTATCACATTAAACAAGGCTGTCACCAATGCAGGCGAAAGAGAAGAGAAGGGTTCCAATATCATGACATGAATTTTCGGGCCGTATCCCGCAAACCCTTGCACGCGAACAAACAGACGCGTTCCTCTCCACTAAATTATTTACTCTTGAAAGGCCAAATAGACAACTTTCCGAAATCCCAAACCCCCTCAATCGTAAAAATATCCTTCCGAATAATCTCCTTGATCTCCTCCTCACTCTCCGCCTTGATGATCATGACTGTTCCATTCTCGGCGACTTGTTGGCCTTCGGCGCTGTGATGAGCAAGGGTGCTGCCGAAGAACGGGACGCGGCCGGCTTTGACCAGGGGAGCTGCGTCTTGGTTGTGAGGTTTGAGAAGGACTTGTCGCTTGGCTAGGACGTCGGGAAGATCAGGGACGATGACGAGGTATTCTTTGAGCTCGGTGGCCATGATGGGCAGTGACAGTGACTGAGATATCGTTGATGTGCAGTTAAATCGGAGTTCTCTTTGGCTGGACTGGACCTGAATGCGAATGGCTTGTGATTGAATGTATGAGATGAATTGCTCAAGCTTTGAGTAATTAAATACGTTGGTGATCTTCGAATCATCACATCTACATCATGACCCAATGCTGGCCGAACTATCTTAGTCTAATGCTTACTGGAGTTTCGGATCGGGGATCAAGAAAACGTCGGACCTTGAGAGGACGCCAAATTAACTAATCAAAGAACCGCCTGATCTGAAACTGATTTACCCAATTCTTTTTGTCGCTTGGGGTCAAGGTCCATGGCCCCCGAAACGGGCTCTTCCGGACCCGGGACTTGTTGGCTTCGGCCGGAGCCTTTCGGTAGTTTTGTCGATCCACTTCTTTCGCGACTTCAGGCCTAGCCATTCTGGGAACAATCGAGAGATTGGGAGAGATCGGTGATAAGATAGGCACCGGCTCGGCTCGGTTGAACAGGGATAGCCTACAAAACCGCTGAGCAAAGTGATGTCATGAAGCCTAACGCGACTGTCCTACCCTATTCTCATTAAAGATGATAATGTTTATAACGCGTTGATGATGTAGAAAGCGCGTTTTTTACTACGATATCGTTTTATAAATGATTAATAGAGATAAGAGAGGCATAGTTTGAGGTTCATAATTTAAACATGTGTAATTGACGACGCGTTCTATCTCTGAAAAAAAAGAAAATAAGGAAATGCCCTGAGTAAAATAAAACATGGACCAATCTATACACATTGCGCGACCAACTTTTCATTACTCAATAAGGCTCTTCATGCGATCGAGGCAGACTTTGCCATAACCTTCTTGGCAAATCCAGTCAGAGGATCATTGCTGACAATGTCAAAGACAGAGAGGTCAGCCTGGAACTCCTTCAATAGCCAAGTACGAATCTCAATCGCGACAAGACTGTCAATACCAAGCGCAGGCAGCGACTTTCGCGAGTCCATATCCTCCACATCAGCCTTGATGATCTTGGAAACACCCTCCAAAAGCTGCTGTAGCACAATTTCGTAGACCTCATCGGGCGAAGCAGCCGCGGCGAGCAGCTTCTTCCAGTCCTGGCCACCAGCGGTAGCACCAGTGCCTTGACGATCCAATTGGTTGAGCACTGTGAATCGTGAGTCAGCGAACCAGTAGGGGTCGTTGGCTGCTAGCTTGTCGAGTTGACCGCCTGTAGACGCGCCGAGAGCGACCTGTGTAGGGGTACGGCCTGAGATGGCGGCCTTGATGACATTGAGAACATCATTCTCATCCATACCGAGCAGACCGCCATCCTTGAGAAGCTGGAAGACCTCACTTCGCTCTGTGGAAACACCGATGCCGACGACGAGACTGAGGTTGATGCTGGTGGCTGCGAGTCCTGAAGCCGCGCGGTGATGAGCGAGCGCGTCTTGGTACGTGTTACCCGCGTTGTAGTTGGCTTGACCTCGCGATCCGATGATACCGGCAATTGAAGACAGGCAGATGAAGAAATCCAAGTCAGTAGGGAGGAGTTCGTGCAGGTTACGCGTCGCGAGAAGCTTGGGGCGGAGAGACGCGTTCCAATCATCAGCCGTCATGTTACTGTAGACCGCGTCCTAAAGCGCATTAGTGAGTGAATACAAGTAATCTCGAAGGAGGACCTACTCTCAGATCCATGGCGCAGTGAATCAATCCCTTGATGGCTGGGAAGCTCTGCTTCACATCGTTGATGACAGGCTCGAGCTGAGACTTCTCTGCGACATCAACAGCAAAAGCCTTAGCTTGAACGCCTCGAGCGTGAAGCTCATCGAGAAGAGCTTGGGCTTCGGGACGCGAAGCGGCTGATCGAGAGAGGAATACGAGATGACGGGCGCCTCGTTCGACAAGCAGACGCGTCACCGATCGACCAATACCGCCGAGACCACCGATGAGAACGTAGGTGGCATCATGAGGCAGACAGAAGCTCTCAAGACCCTCGGGAACGACCTAGAAGTTATCAGTACGCGTTAAGAGAGAAAGATTGAGAGGAGACTAACCGGAACAATGTCATCAGGACGAGGGTACAGAACAATCTTGCCGACGTGACCACCACTCTGCATCAGTCTGAAAGCCTTCGAGACCTCACCGAAAGAGTATCGTGCAAGGTTGTTCAAAGGCGAGATGGCATTCTTGGACAGAAGCTCAACGACCTGGTTGCCGATAGCCTCGAAACGGTCAGGATAGCTAATGACCTGAGTCAAGATGTCTAATCCAGAAAAGGTGATGTTATCAAGGAACGGACGCATGTCCAGACCGCTGTTGTCGTAGATGTCACGCTTTCCAAGCTCAATGAAGCGACCGAAGGGTGCAACACAAAGCCATGTTCGGCGAAGTGCTTCACCAGCAAGAGAGTTGATGACAACATCGACACCTCGTTGGTTAGTGAGACGGAGAATACCATCAGCGAAAGAGTAGTCACGGCTGTTGAAGATGTGAGACTCCTTGATGCCGTACTCTTCGATCAAAAGACGCTTCTTCTTCTCAGAAGAGACAGTAGCAAAAATCTCAGCGCCGAGGTACTTGGCGAGACGGATGGCAGTCTGACCAACACCACCCGCCGCAGAGTGAATCAAGACTGACTCACCGCGCTGAAGACGCGCGACATCAATGAGGGAGTGGACGACTGTAGCAGAGGTACACATCAAAGAAGCAGCTTCCTCGTCGCCGAGATGATCAGGTGTTCTCTGGAAAGTACGAGGATCAACGCGGACACGAGTCTGGAAACAACCTGCGTGCATACCAAAGACACGATCACCAACCTTGAACTTCTGCACACCAGCGCCAACCTTGGCGACGACACCTGCACACTCAATACCGAGGGTGCTATCCTCCATCTGACCCATCGCAACCATGACATCTCTGAAGTTCAGACCCACAGAACCAACCTCGATCTCAATCTGGGTATCCCCAAGAGGTTCAGAGAGATCAGGAACGGAGAGGTACTCGAGAGTGTCGAGAAGACCAGGATCGCGGATGGAGAGCTGCAGAGGCTTGGCGACTTGCTTCAGAGGCAACTTGACGGCTGAGAGGTTGTTTCCTGTCTTGGAGGAGTCGAGGAGGGCTTTGAGGTCGGGGTTGGGGATGAGGCGCTCGACGAGGACTTGGTTGTTGCGGATGACGTACTCGGAGTCTGAAGTCTCGCCAAAGGTCTTGCGGGAAATGTTCTCGAGGATGGTTGAGATGGTCTTGGTGTTCAAGGCGGAATCAAGGGAAGTAGATGCATCGAGACCAAGAGTGGTGAAGGAGATGTCAGGGTGTTCGGCACGAATGGTTCGTCCAAGACCGTTGACGAGTCCTCGAGATGCAGTGTCGAGAGTCAACCAGAGAGTTCCACGCGATGCAAGGAATAGGGAGCGAAGCTTGGTGAATGTCTCGTGGTCAAAGTTCTCTAGGAAAGGAGTGTCGATGTCGAGGGTGGAAAGGGTCAAGAATGGAGTGGTCTGCTCAGGGATATTGGCAAAGTCAGTCTTGGCGACCTCGTAGCCTTGAGAGGTCAAGTCACTCTCAGCCTGCGCAACGAGTTGGCTGAGTCCCGAGGATGGGGAAGATGGAGTGACGATGAGGACTCGACGGACTGAGAGCTCCGTCTCGGGCTTGTGGCGCGCGATGATGAGGTCTGAAACGGGAGTGGAGGTGAAACCGGTAGAGCTGAAAAGGTCAGTGGAGATGACGGCAGCGTGGTTGGCGATCAGCAAGATGCCGGAAGGCTTGAGGATCTTCTTGGCGTTCTTCAAGATGAGCGAGATATCGCCCTGCTGCTCTTCAACGTCAAGGAAGATAACATCGAGTGTTGCGTCCTCATAGCCTTGAGAGCTGGGGTCCTGGGCGAGGTCAAGCTTCTCCTGCTGGATCTTGTTCTTCCAGGCCTCAGGGACGGAAGCCTCCTCATCGACAGGTCCGTCCAGGGGAGTCGTGAGAGTAACAGATGCGATGCTTCCTTGAAGCTCCTCAGCCTGTGCAGTGAGAGCCTTGAGAAGAGTGCTTGAAGTGGACGAGCTGTACTCAAGCACGTTCAATCCAGGTCGCTTCTGACCCAGAAGAGATAGGTAACTTCCCAGCTTAGAAGCCAAATCGGTACCCTTCAGAAGCTGCTCGAGAGTTGCAGCATCAGAGATCTCGACATCGACCACCTTCTTAGGAACAACAGGGACATGTCCAAGCGACTGACCGTCACCCGAAGAAGAATCAGAAGCACCTCTCAGAGGCACAGTCTTACATCCCTTAAGCGCAATTAAAGGCTTAGTACCATTCTCAGCAAACGCAATGACATCGCTCAGCATGTTGGTAGCACCATGTTTCTTGGAAGTGCTGAAACCATGATACTTGGTACCGCTAGTTGAGTCAAAGTCCGCAGAGATGTACAGAGAAGCAGTTGAGACGGGGACTCGGGCCTTGATCTCGGCGGCGTCACCGGTACTGGAGATCAAGAGATGGACAAACACATCAAGAACAGCGGGATGGATGAGATGAGCGGGCTCCCACTTCTTGGGGTAGAAATCTTTCGTATCGATGACTTCCATGGAGAAGTGAGCCTTGTGATCGAAGAGGTTGAGTTGCTTGACGCCCCGGAATGCTGGGCCCAGACTGAAGCCGGACTCATCGAGCTTGGTGTAGAAGACGGTTGGGTCGACACTGGGAAGATCAGATTGAGAGATGTCCTTGTACTCTTGGTTCAGAAGAGCGTTGGCCGCAGCCTCCTCGTCCAAGAAAGTACTGTTGGTCTCATGCTTGTAAGACGTGCTGACAAGACCAGTACAGTTGGTCGTCCAAGAACCGCTCTCATTGCGACTTGAAACCGTAAACTCTGTCCAGTGTGACCACGACACATTAGGTCCAGATCTCCAAGGCGTAAGCTGAAGTCTCGTCTCAACAGTCTGATCAAGCGGAACAACAAGAGCACTTCCAATGTTAACATCCCGAATAGTATAACCCTCAACATCAG